TTGAAAAAGTATCAGGGTAACATGACAATCGAGGAGTTATTCACTGAAATTTTCACTGATAGTGAAAAATTCGAAATTTTTGAAAAAGTATCAGGAGAACATGACAATCGAGGAGCTATTCAGTTTTTCACCAATATTTCGATTGATTAGCCATTTACAAAAGAAAAAATGGGAATTATTTAAAAAAAAAAATGAATGACGGCGGGATCGAACCTGGGCCGTCGGCGTACTAGCCGAGCACGTTACCGCTAGGATAACGCATTATTACAATTTTTTAATTTTATTAGGAGTATATATTTTGCAAAAGTATTGTTTAAAAAAATTGCTAATTTTTCAATTTCACTGGATATCTTCTCGATTATCAAATATTCAGTTTTTAAACGATATTTCGATTGATTTGCCGTTAACAAAAAAAAAAATTGGAATTATTAAAAAAAAAAAAAATGAATAATGCCGGGATTGAACCCGGGCCGCCGGCGTGCCAGCCGAGCACGTTACCGCTAGGACAACGGGCCCATTTAAAAACATAAATTCATTAGTGGTATATATTCAATACATTGAATAATTTTTTCCATTGAAATTCCACAAGATGTGGTTTCCCCCTTCCGTACGTTCGACAGTCGGCTAAATTTCAGTTAAACAAATGAAAAACAAAAAGCATTCGTACAGCAGAAATCAAAATTCACCCCGTCGACTTGATGGACACCCCAGCATTACGTGTGGCGCCCTCCCTTTCTTGGGGTGCAGTACTACGATGCCGCTGGGGTCACTCAACCCCCTTTTTTTTTCAATCCTCTTTGCCTCCCCCTGTCATTTGACAGTTCACTCAGTGTTTTCTGCACAGTTATATCAAAATTAGAGGACAACAATGTCAATTGCACCGCCAATAAAACCACCGCGTGGTATAAAACCCACGAAAGAAACTGTGAGTCGATTTAAAACACCAGCATTAACGAAAAAAAATTATTTAATAAATAGTAGAGGTTACCCCTTCGCTCCAATAATCGATGATTTATTATTATTTTTAAAAACATGGAAATTTCAATTTTCCACATCATGTGCGATTATCTGCGACTAAGTAACAACAATTGAGATTATGAATTTTCTCATGAATTGCAGAAACTGAATAATTTGTTATTTATTTCGTCCACTTCTTCCTTTTACTGTTTAAATTTCAATTTTAATTTTTTTTCAGCTGTCATACATATATTATTTGACAGAATTGATATTTTTTCTAGACTTTTGTTTAATTGTATTAATCCTGAATATTTTTAGAGCGGTCTCCTCATCTCAGTGATCCGAGCACTCTCAGCTTCCGAAACGAATGAGCAACGAGAAGTGGAAAAAGCAAAACTTGAGAAAGAGTACAAACGGAGTGATCAACGCCTGGACGAACTGGTCTCCCTGCACGACCAGGACTTGACAGAGGTAATGAAGATCTTCAGTAATCTGTCAGAGCGAGTGACAGGTTCACGGGAGAAGATCCACGCAGTGAAAGAGAACCTGAATGCCTGCAAGCAGTTATTGCGTTGCCGAAGAGAAGAGCTGATGAAATTGTGGCTGGAGGGAGTGGAGCACAAGCACGTCCTCCAGCTGCTCAACGAGATAGATCAGCTGCGAGAGGTGCCCTCTCGTCTCTCCCACTATCTGAATAAAAAGCTGTACCTTCACGCTACTCAACTCCTCGTCTCCGCCCTGTCAATGGGTGATGGAAGTCTGGAGGGAGTGGAGGCTCTCCGAGAGGTCCGCCTTGAGCTCGAGACGAAGAAACAGCAGCTCCAGCAGAAGCTCCTGGAGGAGCTGACACGTCACCTGTATCTGGAAACCACTCGAGAGGTTTTGCTGAGGCGTCAGGGCTCGGGACGAGACTTTCAGCGTGGAAACGAGAGCCGGGGCTCACGAGGTAATAAAGTTAAACGATCACTCCTGGAGGTTAATTACCCCACATCCTCTCGATCGAACCTCAACCTCGAGGACCTCACAAACATCACAGAGGACGAAAACACCAACCCAGAGGACAACTCCGAACACTTTATTGCGATAATAATTCAGTGTCTGGCTCTTCTTAATAATATTCCTGAGGCAGTGGAGGCTATCAAGGCCCAGATGCAGTCAGAGCTATTGAATATCATCTCCAGGACCTCAGAGCAGATAAGGAAAAACTCGAAGAATCCTCCAAAGACAGCTGAAACGAATGAAATAATCGAGCCAACGGACGACGATAATCAGTCCCTCGTGGAGCTCCTGCAGACGGTCTTCGAGCAGTTTCGATCGGTGGTAGCTGCCCATGGAACGGCCCTGAGGAGCTTCTCCCACGTCTGCAAGAAATATAATCTCGATGTACGTCTGTACGAGATGCCAGACGTCTGGAGTAAAATACAGGCAGTTCTCCAGATGCTTTTGACTGAATTCTTGGACATTCAGAATATCGTGGATGGTCCATTCCAGTCAACCACCCTGGAGGAAGGAGCTGTTGACATCAATACGTATTTCTCCAAGAGAAGACTCCAAAAGCCCATGAGGAGATCACTCTTCAAGTTTGAGTCCTCTTCACACCCAAAAACCCTCAATAATTACTTGAAAGATCAGAGGTATGGCAATCTGAATCGTGAGAGCAATCTCTCTCAGCGGAGATTAGTTTGCGAGCCGAACCCCAAGAATATTACCATTATTTTTCGTCCAATGATGCAGTTCATAGAGGAAATTGAGAGAGCCCTCGACTCCAAGCCGAACTGCCCCTGCACTCTGAACAGCTTCATCGCTGATTACGTCAAGGAAGTCTTCCTCGGGCGTCACCACGTTATGGTGGCGACGATAATTGATGCAGCGACCAAGGGATCAGATGCCTGGACAGCCACAACTCCTCCTGAGGTCATGAAGGAGCTTGGATTGACGAGACCTCTTCTCATCAGCACTGTCCAAGTTGAGAGATGTGTCTCTGAGCTGAGGTCCCTCATGATCTCCCTTCCCCTTCAGGCTGAGCACTTCTGCACTCTAGCCCTCAATGTACTCCATAACTACAGGGAGACCTGTCAGGGCGCCTATAGGGGCATCATCCAGCCTGACAGCGAGGACAAAAGAATTTGCTCCGCTGCTTGGCTCAAGGACGACGACATCAGCAGATTCATCAAGTCTCTACCCAACTGGGACAATATGAAGAGCGATGTAGCGAGAAAGGGGAGAGGAAGGTGGACGATGAGGAGACAGGAGACACAGGAGGAGGAGAGCCCAGAGGAGATCAGGCAGAGGAACTTGAGGGAAGCTGAGATACTCGCAAGTACCCTGGGAGAGGGGGGCATCAATGCCCATGAGATTTTGTCTGACGTTGGACAGCTCAAGTGTCTGGCACTGATTCAGGAGAGCGTTGAGTGGTTCTCATTGTCAATTAGATCATTAGTCGCTGAATTGAGTCAAGCGAAGGGTGGAGAACTTGGGGGTTTACCCAGGGTGTCAGACTCGTTAGTGGAGTCTTTGGAGCAAGTGGCTGGAGAATTCGAAGAACTTGCCAACACTTGTATTCTTGTTTTGCACCTAGAGGTCAGGGTGCAGTGCTTTCATTATTTGTTACCCAGAGGGGAGTACAGTCATCTCTGTGGTGGTGTCAAGGATCCCCAGGAGGCCGATCCCAGGGTGGAGGAGTTGAGCAGAGTTTTGCAGAATATTGATGAGGCACTGCAGTCTACTCTTCATCAGAAGAAGACGAAATATATTTTTGAGGGTCTTGGTCATCTCATTGCAAAAATTCTTATCACCTCGGCGCAGTACATCGAGAGAATTGATAAGAGTGGAATTCAGAGGATGTGCAGGAATGTATTCACTCTCCAGCAGACACTTACGAATATCACGATGACTAGGGAACTTGCGTTGGATTATGCCAGGCAGTATTTTGAGATGTTTTATGAGACTCCTGAGGATATCTTGAATAGTGTCCTGGAGAATGGGCCTCGGTTTTCGGAGTTGGAGTATATCAATGCCTTTCAGCTCATCGCCAGGAGCAGGGAGGGATACACATCCATGAGCAAACACCTGGAGAGGCTCTCGGAAATTCTGGGAGAGGTTGGGGTCACTGTATAGTCACTGGATAAGAACTAATTGGAGTTATTGCACAATGAATTTTTTTTATTGGGAGAGAACTGCCTGGGAATTTCAAGGGTTTATCTCTGATTTCAAGGAGATATAGTATATACTATTGAATATTCTCAATTAACTGGAACAAATGGAGATTGTTAATTGCTAAAAATATCGTCATTCTTTATTATTTATTGGAATTAGAAAACTCTTCAGTTTAACTGTTGCCTTGAATTTCCCTTTAAATCCCTCCCACAGCCTATGGAAAACTTAAAAATTGAAAGCTTTCAATTTTTATTATGAAAAAATACCGTTTTATATATTTGTAGTGTTTACAAATCGCCTTTTAAACTTCTGTGTATTCATCAACGTGACAAAACAACTCTAAAATATAATCTCCGACGTCTTCAATCAAAGTAGAAACGTAAATATTTACTCAGAATCTGAGCTATCAATGTAAAGCGGCTTTTTCTGACTCTTCGTGGTTTGAGTGTTAGGATTCGCTCGTTGACTCGAGGGAGCAGCAAATCGCTTGAACGCAGTTATCTGGAATGAACATCAAATTTTACCCTCATTAATAATCGATGGACTATTCTCTTTTATTCCATAAATAGTGGAATAAAATAAGAGAATAGAAGACGAATAAATGAATTCCCGGAAGTCTTAAAAATTTTTGATACGAGCAGAACCCAGAAACTCACATCATCCCCGGAGTCATCCTTGTCAATAGGAGTGGGATGTCGAACAATTATGGAATCAAGTGTAGCCATTCCTCTTCCCCTACCACGAGTTCCTCTGCCCCTGGAGGAAGCCCTGGGAGTCTTAGCAGTAGTGCTCTTTCCTCGACTATGACCTCTCGCAGGGGCAGTGCTTGATCCATCATCAGGACTGACGTCAACAGCTTTGGCCGCTGGTACACTTCTCTGTGCAGGATTGTTCAGCATGTCCTGGACCTCTTTGAGCTCCTCGTCCTCCTCATCCTTCATCTTCCTCTCCGCTCTATACATCTGCAACTGTGCAAGGACACTCTCAGCATTGGCCTCACCGTCCTTCGTCATCAGATAATCGATACTCTTCTTGATCTGGTGCTCCATGACCTGGGCGAAGGCATCGCTGTCCCCAGAAACAACACATCGATGAACGGCCTCGTTGATTCCAGCGAGAGACATCACCTGGAGTTGATAATCGTTCTGCTCGAAGAATTTTGTGATTCCACTCTGAACAGTCTTGGTCCACTCCTGGGGATCGTCTGTGTCATGCCTGAAGCACTCGGCGATGTCCTCAGTGAGATCCGCAAAGTGATCGTTTTTCACCTTCTTCTCACCAGGGGCTTTCTCTTTTTTGAAGATTAGCATATCCCCAGGATTGGCCACGAGGTCGTTGTATTTGTGGGAGAGATGGGAAGTGTCAAGATTCTGATATTCCTTGGTGTAGAAAATTCTCAAACGAATGAGAGGTCGCTTCGGCTGGTCCTCGTGCCCAGACAGCATCTTCTTGCCTGCAGGAATGGCTGTGTTCTTGATGTAGTCGTCGATGTACTCGACGATCCCCTCGGGTGAGTAGTCGCAGTAGCCCTTCTCCATTATCTCCGAGAGGGATATGTTCCCGAAGAAGAAGGGCCTCACTGTTTTTAATTTAATTGACCTCATCCTGTAGTTTTCGCCCTGGATGAGGAGGAGTCCCACGTGCTTGGGCACTGACTCACCCTCGCTGAGGGAAGTCGCCACAGAACTTCCTGGTTGGCAAATATCGTAAGTACTGCCTTCACGACACTGAATTACTTCTGGGGATATTCTGCACTCATGCTCGTGCCCCCAGATTATCAGGTCGAACCAGGGGGGAAAGCGATTCTCCTCGATGTAGTCGTTCTCCGAGTGTCTTGCACGATTCTGGTGGAGGACTAGAATGTTGAAGCACTTGCCAATGTTTGAGGGCCGGAGAAAATGCACCTGTCCCTCGCGGAAGAGCCTGGAAAGCCTCTGCTCCGAGAGATAACCCACACCATAAATAGCAACGAGAGTCTCTCCCTTCTGGAATATCATTGGAGTTACTTTTATTTGTTGCAGATTGCTCCATTTTCCGAAATAATTCACCAGCCCTGACGCCATCAGCAAATCCAGGGTTCCTGTCGACTCGAAATTCGGATTATCGTGATTTCCATGAATAGAAAATACTGGAATACTGATATTCATGTTCTCATCTTCATAATTCACCATTTTATTGGGGAAGATATCCTTGGGATTGCTGAGGAGCTCGAAAGGTATCGCTCTTTTTCCAGCGCAATATTTCTTTAACAAATTCAAACTCTCGAGGATAATCCGCTGTGAAGGTTTGGGGTCGTGGAACATGTCCCCAGCTAGAAGAATAAAATCTACATCCCTCTCTTGAGCAGTTTTCAGAATCTCCTCGAATGTGATAATACTGTCTGAGTCTTGGGCTGAAAAAAAAAGTTCTTTCCTTGATTATCCCAATAACTCAGTCTCCACACTGGGAATTACCCACATCGAGAATAATTCATTATAATTTCGAAGATTTGATTGTTTTTTTTAATTAGAAACGTACACCAATCTAATTAATAATGGTATGAATTAATATTGAACACCTGACACGTGTTTCAATTGTCGAAATGAATCTTGAAACGAAATACTTTTTTTATTCAATTTATTGATATCTTTGTTTTGATTTTCTAAATATTTCACCTCTCTTTGTTTTCACTTCATAACCCAAATGACAGTCAGTGGCCACGAGAATTTTGAATCTGTCACTGTTGCTGGTTCTTTGACCCGCATCCGCCATTTTCCTGAATAAATAAAAATCCACCAGTGGACATTAAATTTTCTTCTGAAAAATCACAAAATCGAACCAGAACCGGTGAGTTAACAGTTACAGAAAGAAATATATCACATTACGTGGGGGGATAGACTATATCGACTATATCTTCCAGTAACAGAAAATGGCGGACATGAATTTCCCGCCAAATCGTTAAAAACCACGAAACAGCTGTAGATAAAAGAATGGCCGATTTTACCGACAATTTTTTTGGGTTCGAAAATAAAATTCAAAAATTCCCGGTACAGGACACAGATGGGGGGATATTCAAAAAATCAGCCCCCAATTTCAAAAGATTGTTCTTGAAATTCTTGGAATAAAAATATTTCGAGTTGTCCTGGGGGAATAAGAATCGGAGAATTAATGGTAAATAAATTCCAGAGGACGAGGGATAAATCACATGCGAGCCGTCTCTTTATTGGCTTTAAATTATCTCGTCAAATAATTATTGCCGTGTTATTCTACGTGATATACCCCAATATAACCGATGAATTTCAAAGGCAGTTGAGCACTTATACACCAGTTAGAAAGCCGGTTTTCGTGAATGATAAAAGGGGAGAAGTGGTTGTGCTTTTAAAGCCACGGGGACGAAAACATAACGAGAGTTTATTACCTTGCCAGTTGTGGGAGCTATGTACTTCTGGTTATTATGAGAATGCATAATTACTCGAATTAAATTCACAACGATATCGAACAGCCTTTTGAATAAATTCTGAATATTATTATTTTTATTACTCCCAAGATTCTCCACTTCCGTTACTCCAGTATTTTTTTTCTTCATATTTATTCAATCACAGCCCCAAAAAAAATGGAATAAAAAATCTAGTGAATCCGGTGGAAATGTTTTTTTTTGGGTCAATCCGAAATTTCTCTTGAAAATATTCAAGAGAAAATTCGAAAATTCGAAAAAAGTTTGTGGAATTCGATTGGTTAAATTGCATTAAAAATTCAGAAGATAGAATTCTTTTAGGCGAATTAATAATTTAATGAGGAATTCCATGATTATAACAATTATTGATTGTCGTGTGCCCTTATTCCATGAATGGTACTCAGACGGTTTCATTTGTAACTCTTAAGCATGAACAATTTATCATCGTAAATAAAATCGAAGGGCTTATTGTACCGAAGATATAATAGGGTCCTCCAAGGTGCCTTTATAAAACCCAGTAACAAGGTCCCACCTACCCTATTAACTCTGTCACAACCAACCATATTTAACGCCGTTTGCCACATTATTACTACCCGTTTCCCTCCATAATTTATTATGCACTGTGTGAGCCCCAATTTTTTATGCAACCGTTGAGAAAACCCATCTCACCCCCTTTCAGGTTTTAATATCATCTCCTCGAAGATTATTATAATAAAAATCATAGTTTCCATCAAAATTTTCAATTATTCCACTCATCATCATCATTGACTTCCAGCTAGATTAATTATTAAAATATTATTCAATTTTTTTTCCACCCACTCCCCAATTGTCAACTAAAATACGTGACAATAGGAAATTTTTCCTATTGACTCCAATTTCAGACATAAATTTAATGGGATTAATAATAATCTGAAGTTTCAATAGGAATTGTAAATTTTTTAATGATTCATTCTTCGCGAAAATAGTGATAAATAAATAAAAAATGGGTTCCAAGGAACAGAGCATTAATCATCCCCGTGGATTGGAGACTCCACGTGCCCCGGAACACTCGATTGAATGACTCGTTAATATAATGATGTAATATCTTTTTAGATGGCGAAAAAAGGTGAAAAGATAGACAAATGGCTCGAATGGATTTATAGTGTGCGATGTGCGTTTGAATGGAAAGGCGACATGTTTTAGGTATGAACGTGGATGTACCCCAATGGCATCGTATTCGGCAGCTGTATGTCCAGGACTATTGTCAGGGTCACGTAGTTGTTGGAACTACTCTGATGTGACTCCATAGGTTGCTTACAGCAGCGTAAACTCACCCATTAACCAGCACCCCTCATCCTTTTTTTTTTTTGGTTGACTCCTGTCTCTTTGATACTTCTCCACCTTGGTGTGTTTGCTTTTTATATTGACTGGAATAATATAATGAAAAGGTGAATGAGCAAATAACGGTATATGGAGCATGAAATATACGCACCGCTCAGCGAAACGTAAAAAATTATGGAAATTACTGGGCCTTTTCACTCGAACTCCTTTTATCCTTCGATAATTATTTATCGTCATTGACAAATTGATATGGAGGAGTCCTGTTGGAGAGGGGCATCAACCTGGGGTATTGGAAAATTAATTGGATCAAGGGAAGAATGGTAATTTAAGAGACGAGGGGTGGGATCACCCGAATTTTACCATTTTTGTTGAGTAGGTTATTTATTTGATAATGATTCTAGTGAAATGTGTTAAAATCCGGTTTTTCGAAATTCCAGTCATTCGATTTGTTTATAAAAATTAAAAACATCCAGAAATAACTGGATCTTCAAAATTATATAAAATTGCAATAAGTGAAACCTCACAATTTCAAATTTTAACAAATGAATCTAAAAAATATTAAAATAAAAAACTTTGAAATTAATTTCAAAATTAAAAAAAAAATCGGAGACCTCCAAAAATGGTGCCTTCCTTCACGAAGGGTGAATTCGCAATAGAAAATTGTAGAAGGAATTAAAAAAAAAGGGATTGCTTTATTATTCATTAAAGAAAGTGCTGGGACCTTTAAAATTGATAAATAATTTTTTTCTTTAGCTGGGGGAATCCCCGCGGTAAACCCAACGCGCAAAATATTTCCATGCAAAAATCAGAGGTAACGATTATCGGAAATTACGGGATCAGTTGAAATGTATCAGAGCTTATTATATTAGTTTGCTCATGTGCTATAATGAATTGATCCGATATATACGTTTACCTACATGCAATAACAGAAGGCCACGCGCCAGATGGCAACACGATATCTATATATATATAATATATATAAACCTGAGTGTCGGCCACCGATATTACGACTCAATCACTCCCCATCGATCACACGACATATATTACATTATTACTGTACGGTTTTCCAGTTATTACCGCTTGCCCGTATCTTGGATACGGATAGATGACATTTAGAAAATTCTCCCATTCGTTCCTCTCATTTCTCTCATTTCTCTGTATCCAATTCGTCAGACTCCAGAGTAAACCCTCTTTTCGGTTTTATATTATATAAAAAAAAATAAATGCACTATCATCGAATAAAATTGACAGGTAATAAACCATTTTATAATTCACGTCTCATTATTTTTTTCGTCATCCAGGAGATAAATTCATCATCCAATCAATTTCAATTGTCAAAGTATAATCAATAATAATTAATAATAATAATCCTCAATATATTCGTTATTATGAATAATATCATGATAATTTATTGAATTGTTTGTTGTTTATTCATTAATTTTATATTTTGGAATAATATTTCTTTAGATAATTGTTGGGAATAATTTTTCTTTCAGGGAAACAATAAATGGCGGCGATTGATTAGTTGGTGTGTTAAAACAGGGATTCCCCGTGGATTCACCTTCACCTAGTGCCTGGTACCTTCAATCGTAATCGTTATCACCCCCGAGGTCACAATTTACCCGTTAAAGTGGGTTTGTAACGCCCTATGGAGTCACCCCGGGGTGTCCTAACCCACTAGATACTGTACGAAATTCTCGACAAGACTGAATAGTAAAACGGGATTAATGCTCGAGGAGAACATTATGAATGAGAACGTAGTAGCTATTTTATGAATGAAACTCCAGGCGGTGACTGGAGTCAATCCGACAAAGGGATCACTATTTTTCGGGGGTGGCGCACCTGTCCGACTGCATATTTTCAACGGGATTTCACCTTCCTCGGGGCTCATTCATGAAATGGGTCTTTATCCAGGAATTCTCTCTCTTTACTACTAAATACACGACGTCGGGGAGTCACGTCCGGTCAAGTTATCCGTGGGATTTATACGACGAGTCGCTTCGACAAAGGAAATTCACAATGACAGTTTAAAAAGTCACAATTTTCACGTTCTTAGAGATTTTTCAAGGATGTCAACGAGCTTCATTGGCGTGCATCATCCCCTTGGATTTATCAGACTCAAATCCCTGTTTGTTCGTTTATTTTTCGGCGCGGGAAATCAGCGTTTCAAGCCGCCGACAGGAATTCATCGGGATAATCATTGACGGTTCGTAATTCTGCGGGTTGAATTCTCAGATTTTGGGTTCGAAGACATTCCTGCCCCGACGTCATTGTAAAATACTTAATTCCATACATAAATTAAGTAAATTATTTAATTTTCAGGTGTTAGTGAATACCTCTTCGATTTTCATGGTCCCCTGATACTTTTTTGAAAATTTTGAATTTTTCAATTTCTGTGAATACCTCCTCCATTTTCATGCACCCCTGATACTTTTTTGAAAATTTTGAATTTTTTAATTTCAGTGAATACCTCCTCCATTTTCATGCACCCCTGATATTTTTTGGAAAATTTCGAATTTTTCAATTTTAGTGAATACCTCCTCCATTTTCATGCACCCCTGATACTTTTTTAAAAATTTTGAATTTTTCAATTTCAGTGAATACCTTCTTGATTTTCACGCTCCCCTGATACTTTTTCAAAAATTTCGAATTTTCAAATTTCAATGAATACCTCCTCCATTTTCATGCTTCCCTGATAATTTTTTGAGAATTTAAAATTTTTCAATTTCAGTGAATACCTCCTCGATTTTCATGCTCCCCTGATATTTTTTTGAAAATTTCGAATTTTCAAATTTCAGTGAATACCTTCTCGATTTTCATATTCCCCTGATATATTCGTAAAAATTTCGAATTATCAAAACTCAGTGAATACCTCCTCGATTTTCATGTTCCCCTGATATTTTACCGACATGCCATGACCCATTTCTTCCCCTTGAGAATAAAATTTTCGATCCTGTGAGATATATCAGGCTAAAATCCTGTTTTCCTCATCTGAAAAGAGAAAAATCGTGTGCAATCGTTTGACGGTATTCTGAATAACAAAAGTATCATCGGAGACAAGGGGATAAGACGTGTTTACCAGGGAAAACTGGTACTGTTAAGCGAGAGGATCTCCAAGCTGCCACCTGAGGCA